TCATTCCGTTCTTCTCTGATTATAGTTGTTTCTTTTATTCTACAAGCTCTGGGTTGGATTTTTCATTTTATCTAGTTCCTCCAGTTGCACCATTAGGTCATTCATTTCAGATCTTTATAACCTCTTGTTAAAGGCATTTAGCACTATAATTTTTTAAAGACAGATTCTCACTCTGTCACCCAGGCTGGTGTGCAGTAGAGTGATCTTGGATCACTGCAACCTCCACCTCCCAGGTTCAAGCGATTCTCCTGCCTCAGCTTCCTGAGTAGCTGGGACTACAGGCACGTGCCACCACACCTGGCTAATTTTTTTGTATTTTTAGTAGAGGTGGGATTTCACCATGTTAGCCAGGATGGCATGTAGTCAATCTTAGAATAGTATGAATGAAACATATGTATATTCTATGGTTGTTAGGTGGAATACTCTGTAGACATCTATTAGGTTCAACTGGTCACATGTCGAGTTTAAGCCCAGATTTTCTTTGTTAGTTTTCAGCCTTGATGATCTGTCTAACACTGTCAGTGGGGTGTTAAGGTCCCCCACTACTATTGTGTGACTGTCTAAGTCTTTTTGTAAGTCAAGAAAAGTTTGTTTTATGAATCTGGGTGCTCCTATATTGGGTACGTATATGTTTAGAACAGTCAGGTCTTCTTGTTGCGTTAAACCTTTTTTTATGTACTGCTCTTCTTTATCCTTCCTGATTGTTGTTGGTTTAAAATCTGTTTTATCTGATATAAAAATAATGACTCCTGCTCTTTTTTTGTTTTCTGTTTGTTTGGTAGATCTACTCTATCCTTTTACTTTGAAACTGTGAGTATCTTTATATGAGAGATGGGTGTCTTGAAGACAGCAGACTATTGGGGCTTGTCTTTTTGTCCAGCTTGACATGCTATCCATTTTAAGTCAGGCATTTAGACCATTTACATTCTGGGTTAGTATTGATATATGAGATTTTGATCCTGTCATCATGTTGTTGGCTGTTTATTTTGTAGACTTAGTTATGTGGTTGTTTTACATTCTCTGTAGGCTATGTCCTTGCATGTGTTTCTGAAGAAGCATGTTTCAGTTCTTTGTTTTCATGTTTAGCACTCCTTTAAGTACTTGCTTATCTGAGAAGTATTTGATTTCTCCTTCACTTATGAAGCTTAGTTTGGTGGGACACAATATTCTTGCTTGGAAATTATTTTCTTTAAGAATGCTGAAAATAAACCTTGATTCTCCCCTGTCTTGTAAAGTTTCTGTTGCAACGTCTACTGCTAGCCTGATGGGGTTCCCTTTATAGATGACCTGACCTTTCTCTCTAGCTGCCTTTAACATTTATTTCTTTTGCTTTGACTTTGGTGAATCTGATGACTATGTGCCTTGGGGATGGTCATCTTGTGTAGTATCTTGTAGGGTTGTCTGCATTTTTTGAATTTGTATGTTCTCCTCTCTAGAAAGTTTGGGAAACTTTTCATGGACTGTATCTTCAAATATATTCTCCAAGTTACTTCTTTTTTGGAAACGCCAATGAAATGTAGGTTTGGTCTTTTTACATAATCCCATATTTCTCAAATATTTTATTCCTTTCAGAGTGCTTTTAAAAATTTTTTTTTCGGGGGCCGGGCACGGTGGCTCAATGCCCTGTAATGCCCAGTACTTTGGCGAGGCTGAGGTGGGCTGGCATCACCTGAGGTCAGGAGATCGAGACCAGCCAAACCGAATGATGGTGAACACCCTCAGTCTCTTTACGAAAAATACAACAAGATTAGCTGCGTGGGGCGGCCGCCGTAATACTCAGCCACTCAGGAGCTGAGGCAGGAGAAGCCGCTTGAGTTCTTGGAGGCGGAGGTTGCAGTGAGCCAAGATTGGCCACTGTACTCCAGGCCTGACAACAGAGCGAGGACTTTGTCTCAAAAAAAAAAAAAGCTGGTGGGGTGGCGTACACCTCACGTTGAGCCCAGCCAACACGTGTGTGGGGAGGCCTGAGCGAGGCGGATCACGAAAGTCAGCGAGATTGAGACCAGCCTGGTAAAATGGCCTGAACCCTGTCTCTACTAAGAATTACAAAATTTAGCGGCAGGCAGATGGTGCAGGCACCTGCTTAGTCCCAAGCAGTCGGGGCATTGAGGCAGAGAGAATGTGCGTGACCGGAGTGGAGCTTGCAGTGAGCCAAGATCATGCCACAGGACTCCAGCCTGGGCCAACAGAGCGAGACCCATCTCAAAAAAAAAAAAAAAAAAATATTTTCTGTCTGACTAAGTGATTTGAAGAGCTAGACCTCAAGCTCTGAAATTCTTTCTTTAGCTTGATCTATTCTGCTACTGATGCTTCTAATGTTATTGTAGAATTCTTGAAGTGAATCTTTCCGTTTCAGAAGTTCAGTTTGGTTTTCTTTCTTCTTTTTTTTTTTGTTTGAGACAGAGTCTTGTTTTGTTGCCCAGGCTGGAGTGCAGTGGTACGATATCAGCTCACTGCAACCTCCACACCCCGGGTTCAAGTGATTCTCCTGCCTCAGCCTCCCGAGTAGCTGGGATTACAGATGTGTGCCACCATGCCTGGCTAGTTTTTGTATTTTAGCCTAGACAGGGTTTCATCACGTTGGCCAGGCAGATCTCAAACTCCTGACTTCAAGTAATCCGCCTGCCTCGGCCTTCCAAAGTGCTGGGATTACAGGTATGAGCTATCCAACCCGGCCGGTTCTTTCTTAAAATGGCTATTTAATCTTTCAGCTCTTGGATTGTTTTACTGGATTCCTTGGATTCAACTTTCTCTTTGATCCCATTGAGCTTCCTTGCCATCCAGATCTTGAATTTTATTTCCATCGTTTCAGTCGTCTCAACCTGGCGAAGAACCATTTCTGGGGGACTAGTGTGTGTGTTTGTAGGTAAGGGGGCACACTGGCTTTTTGAGTTGCCAGAGTTTTTGCATTGATTCTTTTTCATGTGTAAGGGTTAGTGTTCCTTTAACTTGATGTAAGTTGAGTATAGTCAGTTGGCTTCATTTTACGGTGTTTTCAGAGGGTCAGGAGTATGTACAGAATGCGTATTTGTTGCTTAATCTTTGCCTTAGTTTTCACAGGTGCTGTATACTGGCAAAATACTTTTGTGTTGTATTTTCAGCTGTGATCCAGTAGGTGGCACTTAAAAGTGTTAGCCAGTGGATAGGCAGATAGGCTGTTTCTCAGCTGCACAGCTCTTTTGTGTTTTCCTCAGGTTAGCAGGAGTGCTCTGTAGTGGGTGGGGGAGAGATGACCCCCTCACCTTGTCCACTCCTGAGCCTTGAAAGAGCCCCCTCTGATCACTGGCTCCATGCCTGTATTTCTTTTATTAGGTGTTCTCGTCCATGGGGCTTCCTCATGCAGGGGCCACAGTTGGCAAACAGGTCATATCCTTTCTGGAATGGCTGTACAGAGGGAGGCACAACCCACTCCTCCACCGGCCTGTGAACTTGGGCATCTCACCTCTTTTAGTGATGCAAGAGTGAGGACTCCCCCACGGCTTGGGTACCACCCAAGCCAGCAAGAACTGCTTGGCTAGGAGTTGCAGGGATGAATGGAGTCACCTATTCTGTCTAGGTGCTTCCCAGGGGAACATGGAGTTGTCCCCACCTGCAGAGTTCATATAAAAGCAGGACTGCTGGGCTGGAAGCTCTAGCAGGTGTGGGCTGCTGGCCGTGAGCAGTGGGAGTCGGTGGAGTCACTCGCCCTGCCATTAGGGTGTTTCCTAGGGGAACAAGAGGCTGTGCTTGTCAGCAGAGTTCAGACAGAAGTGGTACCACTGGGCTGGAAGCTCTAGCAAGTCTGGCCTGCATGGCTACAAGTGGCGGGGATTGGGTGATGTTGCCTGTCCTGTTGTTTGGGTGTTTCCTGGAGGAACAGGAGGCTGCACCTGTTGGTAAAGTGAAAACAGAAGCAGGACCATTGGGTCAGAGGCTGGTGCTGAGCTTTGTCTAAGTGATTTGGGGTGGAGCAATCTTACTGCTCCCAGGTACCGTGACTGCAGCCTCTGTGGGGGCTATGGCACTGGTGCTGGACTGTTCCAGGGTCCAAGGCTTCCAGCAGTCCCTGGGGACCTGAGAGTTGCCTCCACAAAACTCTGGGTGTCTCTCTGCATTGGCTTAGAGGTGCAGGGGGTGGGTCAAAGGGATTATCCTGTTCCAAGCCTTGCACAAGTCCCTGTGAAGACTGAATCCTCCAGGGGCTCTCAATCACTTACCCTTTCCCTATGTTCAAGAGCTTCTCCTAGCTCCATGCTGATCCCAGATGGGCCGCCCAGCTTCACTCCACTCTCCTGTCTGTGTCCCCTTGCTGCCTTGATGGATGCTGATGTGGCTTCTTGGAGGATCAAATTGCAAGATCAGTGTTCACTAGTCATTTTGTTTCCTCTCCATGAGAGTAGTGCGCATGATCTGCTTCTAGTCTGCCATTTTGACTTAACCCTGTATCCCCAATTTTAAAATTGATCCTGGCACTTAGTCTGCTCTCAGCAAATGTTTACTGAATAAATAAGTTAACCAGTGCCATAGCTTCATGTAGCCACTTGTATTACTGCATAACAAATTATTTAAAATCATAGAGGCTGAAAATAACAATAAATATTTATTATCTTATCCAGCTTCTAAGGGTCAAAAATTTGACTTATATATGGAATCTAAAAAAGTCAAATTTATAGAACTGGAAAGTAGAAGGGTAGTTACCAGGGGCTGGAGGGAGAAGAAAATGGGGAGACATTGGTCAAGGGTACAGCATCTCAGTTACACAAGGTGAATAACTTCTGGAGACATAGTATACAATAATATGACCGTAGTTAACAACAGTATATTGTACACTTGAAATTTGCTAGGAGGATAGATCTTAAGTGCTCTCACTACACACACACACACACACACACACACACACAAATGGTAACTATGCGAAGTAATGAATATGTTAACCTAATTGTCACGATTATTTCACAATGTATGTGTATATCAAATCATCAAGTTGTATTCCTTAAATATATACAATTGTAACTGTCAATTATACCTCAATAAAGTTGGTGGCAAAAAGAACTTGGTAAAAAAAAAAAGTTCTTGGCAAAAAGAACTTGGTGGCTTAACTGACTGATTGTGGCTCAGGGTCTTTCTTGAGGATGTAATCAAGATGTCAGCCAGGGCTACAGTTATCTGAAGACTTGATTTGGACTGAAGAATCCAATTCTAAGATGACCCACTCATACGGCCTGTAAGTTAATGCCAGCTATTGCTAGGAGATAGCAGTTCCTTGCTAGATGGATTGTTCCATGGGCCTGTTTGAATGGTTTCATGACATTGCATCTAGCTTCCCCTAGGGATATTGATCCAACAGAGAACAAGGCAGAAGTCAAAATTCTTCTTATGACCTAAACTTGGAAGTCAGACTCTCTCATTTCAACAAAATAATACTAATTAAACAGATCAACCCTTTTTTCCTGTGGGAAGGGACTATACAAAAGTATTAATAACAGTTGATGAAAATCACTGGGGGCCATCTTGGAGACTGGTAGACATACCCCTTTGTGGTTTCAAAACATGTCCCCAAGTGCTTTGACTAGCCTCTCTTCCAAAGGTGGAGGTTAATTCTCATTCTTTTGAGTGTGGGCTGGACTTAGTGACTAACTTCCAAACAATACAATATGGCAAAAGTGACAGTCTGTGACAGAATTATAAAGACCATTACAAGTTCCTTCATACTCTCCTCTTGGATCTTTTGCACTGGAGAAAGCCAGATGACACATTGGAGGACATTCAGTCAGCCTATGGAGAGGTCTATGTGGCAAGTAAAAAGGCCTATTGCCAAGAGCCATTCTCAAACTGAGGCTTCCATCCAATGGCCATGAGTAAGCCACCTTTGATATAAATTCTTCAACTCCAGCCAAGTCTTCAACTAACTACAGTTCTCACCAACAGATTGACTACAACCTTTTGAGACTCTTGGCAAGAATCACCCAACTACATTCTCCTGAACTACTTATTCACAGAAGCTGTGAGATAATAAGAGTGTATTGTTTTAAGCCACTAAGCTTTAGTGCCATATTTAATACAGGCCTAGAAAAAATATTTCCCTCCACATATATCCAGATACCATTCTGGAGAGGAACTTGGGGTATCACCTTGATACCATCTTGGGACAGGAATTTGCTTAGGTCATCATTATAGAGAATAATTTGCTTAAGCAGATAGGTGGAATTAATAAGTCAGACTAAAATTACAGGATAATTTAAATGTAATCATTCACAACTTCACTAACTCCCAATGGGCATGAACTTACAAAGATGACCACTTATAAAGAAGATTGGATGAGAGCAACTCTTAGGATAACCAATCAGGATCTGAAGATAAAGTCCAATCAGAGTAGGCCTAGAGGTTTTCCCCCAACCAATCAGAACACCAAGTCCAGGACCTCATTTCTGTAACCTCTATATATAATGCACGCTGAGGGTGTGTTCTGCCATTCCAGCCTCTTCTGCCACTGCTCCACTGCTGCTCCATGCCTGACTTAGAGGAGGAGGTGGAGGCTGCAACTTGTGGTGCCTGGCCAGGCTCCCTGTGGTTAGTGGTGGCCACCAAGACTGCAGCGTGGTCGGAGTGGTAGGAGGCAGCCATGAGCAGAGCTTCTCTGTGTCCCCCTACAGGAGGAGTCAGAAAGGGGAGGCACCTGTCGCACACTGGAGGCTAGAGCCTGCAGCCCAGTGGCTCACCTCACTGCAGTTTGTGGTGGTGACAGAGACTGCAGCACGTCCAGAGTGGTAGGACAGGGGCCTCAGCCTCCTGGGCTCCCCGGCTCCTCCTGCCTCGGCCAGAGCTGCTGGGACCCCAGGAGCAGCCACCACGACAGCCTCTGCACCCATTTCCTGCACAGTCCCCTAGACGTGAGAGGTGCTAGGAGAAGGCAGCTGGGCCTCCTGGTCCCAGGTAGCACAGGAGGGTCCTCCAGGGCCTCGCCACAGGCAACCTCCCATGCTCTTGGACAATGAGCAAGAGCCACGGGCCTGGTCATGCTCTGAGGACAAAAAGGGGACCCTGAGCCTGGGTGCCATCCCTCATCAGGTCATGTGAGAATTGTTCCAAATCCCTCTTCGGAGACGAGGAATGGTCTCTACACACATGTGCGGTCAGGGAGGACACCCCAGGGCCAGGAAATGCAAGCACGGGGCTACCAGGATGAGGCTGGGTGTCCCCATGAGGCACCCATGCGCCATCCCAGGGCTGGGTGCAGATCCCTCCCAGGGAACTTGGGCCCAGCTCTCCAGGTCTCTGGCGCCACCTGGTGGTCACTTGCTTTTCCTAGTTGTGTCACCCAAGCTGGCCTCCAACTCACACTTCCAGAGATCCTCTTGCCTTGGTCTCCCGAAGCAGGAAGCAGGAGGATTGCAGGCTTCAGCCACTGCACCTGGGCTGGACCTATGTATTCTAATTTGTGGATGAGTTTAGGACTGGGGAGAGTTTCCTCATTCGGTATTTTCCTGTGTCCTAAATGACTCTTGATTGAGTCATGACTATCCCTAGCTGATCCTGCAGGTGGGGCAGGAAGGGAGAAGATATGAGGTCCTGGACAGCGAGGCTCCACTCTTCCCCTTCATGTGCTACACACACACACATGCACACACACTGCACACATACTGCACACACACATGTGTACACCCTGCACGTGCACACTGCATGCACACATATGTACACACACTGTGTGCACACACTACACACACTGTGTGCACACACTGCACACACAGGCACAGAAGCAGAGTGTAAGTTCAGAACAGATGGAGCTGTGTCTGCTATGAAAATACTGAGAAGCATGGATGCTTGGGGAAGAACCCCTTGCCCACACCGCACCTGGTGGCCCAGGTTAACCCCTGGCCCAGCAGAAAAGCCGGCCAGCCCCTCCTCCAGTGTCCATTCTGATTGGCCAGTACATGTAACCAGCCCTGGTGAGAACATGCACACCAAAACCCAAGAGCAACATACCCAAGACACAACACACTCATAAACCCAGGTGCTCATGCAACACACCACATCCAGGGACAGCACAGACACCAGGCATCTCCCTGTCATTGCCACCTGTCGCCACCCAGCCTCTACCCACATTTCCCAGGGACTGCTTCCCAAGGTCCCAGGGTCTTCTACTTTCCATGTGGTCCAGGTAGTCCATTCTCCCCAGTGGAACCAGAGGATCCACAGAACGAGAGGAATTGGGGTAGGTGAGTGTTGGCCTCCAGCCAAGGGACCCCTCAGGAGTGGGGCACAGAAGAGAGGGGTAATGGACTGAAGGCTGGAGCTCAATGGAGGTGGCAGGGTCATTGGTCACTCACAGGCTGTCTTGGCTCACCATCCTTGCCGTAGTCACCCTTAACACTGTCCTGATCCTGCAGGGATGAAGCAAGGCCAGACTTGGCTGGCATCACCCCTAAAACAGCTAAACCTTGCATCCCCCTGCTTGCCCTGCCATATCTCCAGCTTCCCAACATCCAAGCCCATTAGTTGCACAGAGGCCCCCCATGGAAGCCCCAACCTCTTCATCCCTTCCCCTCCATGGGTAAGACTCACATGAGCTACCTTCTTACAGGAGGCCAGGGTCTCCAGGAAAACCAAGACCCTAATCCAGAGGGAGAACAAGGGTCAGGGTCACAGCCCCGTGAGCCCACCCAACACAGACTCCCACAGGCACAAGAGACCCTCTTCCTCTCTACAGGTTCATATGTCGGCACCTCCTTAGGAAGAGGGTCTCTGCATCCCCATCCCCACCTCAAGCACTGCATGCTGTCTAATGCCTTACAGTAGTAGCCACAGGGTATCTCTCACTTTCTCTCTGGACTCCAGATCTCATGCATCCTCCCAGGACACCCCATTCCCAGAGCCTCCCTCCCAGGCATCCCCCCACTCCCAGGCTCCCCACACTCCAAGATCCTCACTCACAGACACCCATATTCCCAGAAACTTGGCTGCCCTGACTCTCCTTTCCCCCCATACTCCCCGTGTGTACCCTGCAGAACAAGTGGAGAGCACAGAGGATCTTGAAGAACAGGGATGCAGCCCCTGCTTCCAAGACACCTTTAGCCACTCCCTACTGCCCTCGAGGACAATGGGACACACAAAGAAAGTCTAGCCTATAAGGGGAGTCCCCTGGTCCCCTTCCCTTCAAGGACAGGGTGGAAAGGCTCGTTCAGAAGATGGTTGGGAGTGGAGACTCCTGGCCGCAGAGGAGCTCCAACTTAAGGAAGTCACAGGAAAAGAGAGGGGTGCAGCTTAGGGGCGGGGGTGAAGGGAATTCTGAAGCTGAAGCAGGGCCCTGGAGCTGTCAGTCACCTGACACCTGGCTCACCCTGGATTCCTGGAGATCCTGTCTCTCCTGGCTCCAGCAGCCAAGAGATTGGGGTCAAAAACTTCATTTCCCCCTCACAAAATCCTGGTATTCTCCACATTTTATTCTCTTTTGTCTCCTCAACAAAAATTGGCAGAAATCCAACTCTCATTCCTCATCCACAAGACTGGTCCCTTCATCCCCTTCAGCCCTTTCCCAATTACCTTCTCTCCAGGAGGACCCAGGTCCCCAACACCTCTCAGGGGACCTTGTGGATCCTGAAAGAGGAAGAGAAATAGGTGTCATTGCTTTGGAAGGTGGGGTTATTGCAGGGGCAGAAGCCCCGATGAGTGCCCCAAGGTCCTGGCAGTGGGACAGTAGAGGCCTCCCAGGGGAAGGGGCTTCTCAGGGGTGAAGAGTTTATGATCTGGGGAAAGGGGGGCAGAGGATCAGACACATTGATCTGAAGGGGCAGGGGCTGGGATGACTCACATCAGTGCCACTGGGTCCAGGTAGTCTTTGTGGGGGAACAGATACACCAGAGCTGGGGAAGGGACGTGAAATGGCACGATGAAGGAGTGTGGATGGAGGAAGAGCAGTCAGGCCAGGGAGGCAGCAGTAGGGTGGGGGCTGGCCAGGCGGGGGTGACCATTTGGGGTCTGGAGTCAGTAGGGGTCACATTCACCATAGGACCCACATCTCCTGTTTCTCCTTTCTCCCCAGAGGGGCATGGCACACGCTATGCAGGTGCAGAAAGCATGGACCCAGGTGACCGCCCACCCAAAGCACAGCCCTAGACTGATGGGTCCCACAGCCCCTCCACTCAGACCCCACATGGCCCCCAGACTTCTGCTCCCACTGACCCAGTCCTCAAAGCATGTTGCTAGCAGGGTCTGGGACACACAGCACCTCATCCTGACCCTGCCTCTCAGCCCGTCGCCAGCCGCAACTCACCTGTAGGTCCGTGAATCCTCTTGTTCCTTTATTGCCTTTGGCTCCGCACACTCTGGCTCCAAAGTATCCCTGGGGTCCATGAGCTCCGGGCTCCCAATCTGCTCCCTGGGGAAGGTGGGAAGCAGGGACAAGGACACAGATAGACATGGGTCATGGGTCAGGTGTTCTCTATTCACAAACCCCTACAGAGCTGGGTACCAGGTCCAGAGCCCCCACTCCCAAACCCAGCCTCAGGGGCAGAGGGGAACTGAAGGCAGAGCAGAGGCTGCCAGGGCCTCGGGTGGGGCCCAAGGGTTCACTTACCACTGCTCCAGGCTGTTCCATAGACCGATGAGCCCAGGGGGTCCAGGAGAGCCCTGGGGGAGAGAGGAGAGTCAGAAACACCAAGGCAGGAAGGGACCAGGAGGGAATGAGGTTAAAGGCCAGGGCGTCAAGGTCATGGACACTTGTTCCCTTTGGTGCCCTTCCTTCTGGGGTTCCCGCACCTCACCGTGGAGGAGAAGGCAAAGGAGATATTAGAGGGAGGAAATGATAGAGCTCAGGGGTCAAGCCCACCTCAGCCCTCTCATGTGGAGAGAAGATTGGCTGGGTTCTCTGGGGTTCTTCTCTTGGTCTCCATCTTCTCCAGCCACACCTGGAGGCCCAGCAGGACCAGGAAGTCACACATGACTCTGCACCCTATCACGGCCAGGCAGACAAATGGGGCCCTTTTCACCCCGTGGGGCAGGAAGGAGGAGTCATGGCCTGGAGGTGACCCTCACCCTCAAACACCCGCAGGAAACCCTTCATAGCCCATCACCCCTCAGCCTACAGACCTCTCCCCAAGAACCCCTCCCCGGGATCCCCGCTCTCACTGGGACACCTGTCTCTTCTGCTGATCCAAGGGGTTCCGGAGGGCCGGGGCACCCTGGTGGGGGGGAATGGGTCCCTTGAACCTGCTGCACCTTAGTCCCTAGGGGGAAACCCTGAGAGCTGAGATGAGTCAGACCCCCAGGAAGGGAGACCCAAGCCCACTCATACAGGGACCCTCAGAGCACAATTCCCAGGAGAAGAGCCTCAAATCAGCTGCATTCTGGCTGAGTCTAGATTCCCTCTGCCCAGTCCCACAGCACCTGCCTAGATCCGGATGCCACCTCCACCCTGCCTCAACACCCCCTTTCCTGGTTCCCTCCTCCCACTCCCCGGGAACCCCAGGCTCCCTGCAGGGTAAGGCGGCCAGCTGGACCTCATTCCCCTTCAAGCTGGGTCCACGCTCTGAAGCAGAGATTTGGGGAAGGTGGAGCTTTACAGAAAAGAGAAGGGTGAGGGCTGGTGAGAGGAGATAGGAGAGATGGGAGTGGGGAGTGGGGAGTGGCAAGGAGCAGGGTCAAGGTCAGGGAGGGGATCAGTCACTTGGTACTTGGTCCAAGCAGGGCTCTAGGAGTCACACTCACAGCAGTGCCTAGGAGGCCTTTGTCTCCTGGGAAGCCCCTCAGACCAGGAACATCCTTCCCTTGAATCCCATGATCACCCTAAAAGAAAAGGAGAGGTGAGGAGCCACAGCTATCTGTGCTGCCAAATTAAACAGAGAGATTCCTGGGCCCCCTTAAGTCCCTAGCTACCTGTTCCAGACATGCGAGCCGGGGCAGGGGTGTGTGACTGAGAGAAGAGAGCCAGATAGACTTAACTCCAGGGTCTGGGAGCCGTTCCTTCCTGGGGAGAGACCTAGCTGAGGTCCCACCACTTATGGGGGGCCATGGGGGCTGCTCTCCCCTTGGAAACCCTGAGAGGAAAAGGGCAGCATGCAGTGGGTGCTGTGGGGTAGATGCCTGGGCTCCAGAGGAGGAACAGGGTCACATTGAGCCCCGGCCCATGGGTGTGGGCAGCATTAGGACAGGCTCTGTTCTGCCCAGAGAATGTCTCCGTGGTCCTTCCAGACAGCTTTGGAATTTGACGGGCCCCCTGAGAATTGGTGGCCAGGGGTATCCCTCACCACCTCTCCTCTCTGGCCCGGGTGTCCTGCAGCTTGTCATTCCCAGGGTGCCCTGGAAGGAGTCCAGATGTCAGATGAATTCTGGGCTGGAAGGAGGGCAGGGAAGGACTCAGGGGTGGGTCAGAGCTCAGGTAACAACTCACCAGGGGCCCTTTGGGGTCAGAAAATCCATTGAGACCCTGAGATTCAGGGAGACCCTAGAGACAGAGATGGATAGAGTCAGGAGAATGGGGCAGGTGCTGGGCAGGGGAACTCAGCTTCCTCCCTGGGGTGAGGAAGGAGCCAGCACACCCAGGCTCCCTCTTTCTAAGAGTGAATTTTCTCCAACTCTAGTGCTGGGATCCGACATCCCTATGCCTGCAACTCTGACAAGTCCTTCAGGGTCACTGTGATCCAGTTGCTGCCCACCTGCTACCCTCAGCTCCATCTGCCCCAGCACCCACTCTTGCTTCACCACGACCAGTTTCCCCACAGGTCTCCGGCCCTTTGCCCACGCGGTGCAGCACCCAACTCCCCTGCATACCCCTTCCTCCTGCTGCTCCAGGGCTTATCCTGCCCAGGCAGCTGTGGGGCAGGAGGTTGGGAGCAGTGATTCTGCAGCCCAACCAATGTGGCTCAGCCCCTGCCCTGTCATTTGATGACCCTCTGATGACTTGGCCTGCTTGTGCATCTGCAAAGCCTCACCTGCAAAATAAGACCAGCTACACCCACCTCACAGGATGGAGAGGAGGTCCCGCACAGTGCCCGCATGTGGCAAGTGCAGAAGTCAGCTCTGGAGACCACAGGTCTCGCTGCTGTTGGTGTCTCCCTTCTAGGGGCTGCCGCTGCTCAGTTTGGACGCATGTTCACTCTGCTTGGACCTGTAGCCACTCTGTGCCAAGTCTTCATGACAGTGGCTTTTCCTTGACTTCTATACCCGCCTCAATCCATCGGCAGCCAGGAGGTGCCATATACAGAGAAAGGAGCATAATGAATACATAGTCATCTTTAATTGACTGGCTGCAGGCACCCCCATGCCCACCCTGACCCCATGTGCCTTCATCCCTAGAGTGCCCAGGCACAGATCCCTCTCTTGTCATCTCCTCGCCTGTGAGTCCAGGGGGCCCAGGGTCTCCAGTCGGTCCAGTGTGTCCCTTTGGCACCCTGGGAGCACTCTGATGCTGCTGCTCCCTGGGGAGCACAGAGGAAGACATCCAAGCCACACCCTTTCTCTGGGGGATCATGGAGGCCATCAAAACCTGATGTTCCCTGTGGAGGAAGCACAGCCAGGGAGGGAGAGGGTGGGAGAGGTGAGCGTTAGGGTCTGGGGAGGAAGTCTGAACCCAGAGGAGAAGCAGTCACCAGTGGGGCTGAGTGGGGCTGGTAGATCCCAGGAGCTATTGTGGGACAGGGAACGCCGAAGTGTATGAATAGTGTTGTCATCCATGGCCAGCGTGATGCAGACTGTGGGATTACAGTCCTGCAGGGATCAGGCCTCCAAGGATGCACAGCACTGGGGAGCCCAGGGCCTCCAGGGAATGAACTGGTGCTTGGGGGCTCCAGAGTGAATCATTAGGACATGAAGTTGGGGCCAGTGTGAAGTCTCCACTCATGCTGATATCCTTCACACCTATGTCACCTATGAATCCCAGACAGTCGTTCTCCCCTGATGGAGGTAAGAGGACCCCCACAGATGGGAGAGGGCTGGGGGTTCTAATGTAGGATTCTGAGAACATGGCTGGAAGGGTGGGCTCAAGAGCTGGAGGGTAGCGTGGGGCAGGCGGGAGTGAGGTGCTGGGAAGCTGGGGACATGGTGTTCACCTCTGCAACCTCATGGCCCTTCAGACTCCAAATTCTATCTCTACCCTGGACTTAGAGGTGAACAGAGGTTGAGTGGTCAGGGGATGGAAGTGGGTTAAAAAGACCAAAATCTTGAGACCCCCATCTTGCTTCCCTGAACACAGTCCCTTATCCCCAGCCAGGAGGTCGGTTACCTTGACCCTCGAGGTCCTGGGTATCCTAGAGGACCCTGAGGTTCAGATGGACCCTGGAAGAAAGAGGCATTTATAAAGGGGTCTTAGAGCACTCACTGTGGGGGCTCTGGGGTGGGAGAAATGGAAGTAAAAACGCTAGGGTCTCGGTAGGGATACAGGGCAGCACAGGAGTGTAGAATATTGTCACAGCCACGTGAATGATGAGACAAGAAAATCTCAACAACTTTCAGGCTCCAGGGTCTGGGTGGAGACTTTCTCTGGGGGTGAAGGGCATGGCAGATTTTGATTGTCCTTTCCAGTGAATTGAATGGAAGATATGTAAAACTACCCAAACGATGAAGCAAAGTGAAGCATTAACAAATCTAGATGCTTGTTTTTTTCTGATTGAAAAACCATCAGTATTACAGTAAATTTACAGGGAACTTAGTAAGAGTGGAAAGCTTTCCCAGCTTACTGCTCTCAAGGGAACTTTTCTATTTGTGTAAGAAGGATGGATGGGCTTTGGAGCTTCATTTCCTGCTAGTTGACAGGTTTGGGAAGGTTACTTCTTGCTCTGAATAGTAGTGACAAATGTGTGAAAAAGTCATAATAGTATCTATTTTCCTGAGTTGCTGAATGATTCTATTATATTCAAAGGGTTCTTATAGTATGTGACCTACCACTGAAAATTCCCTCCCTTGCCACTAGTATTTAATAAATTATGTTGTTTTAATAAAAACTAACATTAAAAGCATAAGTAGACCTGTGATTTGTTTAAATTTAGTGGAAGAAAAAATTTAAGACTCTTGTTTTTTAATTGGCTTGGCTAGACTTGCAATGCCCATCTATGGAGTGTTAAAGCTACCACCACTGTTTCGATTATTCATATCTTAGAAGCATCATTAACTAAATAATTATCTCAAAACCTCCCCATGCCTCACTCAATCTTTCTAGTTTTTCATTCATCAATTCTTACACCTGATTGATCAGGAAAGAAAATCTTTTTCTCTATCCTTTTAGGTTCATTCTGTGGGGGACTGTAGATTAAAATGACAAAAGACAAATTAAGAATTCAGCTCTCTAATTGTTTAAAGTTTGAGGCTTATACAGTATACCTAACAGTAGAGGAAAGGGAGGGGGAAGAAATTTGTCCTAAGAGAGGAGCAAATAGGTTTCTTTTTTTTTTTTTTTTGATACGGAGTCTTGCTCTGTCACCCAGGCTGAAGTGCAGTGGCGTGATCTTGGCTCACTGCAACCTTCATCTCCTGGGTTCAAGCGATTCTCCTGCCTCAGCCTCCAAAGTACCTGGGATTACAGGCACGTGCCACCACGCCCGGCTAATTTTTGTATTTTTTAGTGCAGAAGGGATTTCACCATGTTGCCCAGGCTAGCCTTGAACGTCTGACCTCAAATGATCTGCCTGCGTCAGCCTCCCAAATTGCTGGGATTATAGGTGTGAGCCACCGGACCTGACTGCAAATAGATTTCTTTAGGGAAGAAGAATAAGTGGATTTTTAGGAGAATAAAAAGAAGATACAAAATTTCATAATAATATATGTCGATGCAAGTGCAGTGTTCTTTCCCTCTTCTTCATGGCCATGAAACTATACCAGAGAGGGGATTTATAACAGGTGTATTCTTACTTTTCTTTCTGGGAGTAGACCTGCCAAAAGAGAATTTATGGCAGCCTCATTTCTCAGCAGTTGCTGCTTTTAATCACATAAGGGAAGCTCTGAGGCTTCTTTCTGCATCTCTTGAAATTGGAAATAATGCTTGGCTGGTTCCCTCCACTGCCCCATCCTCCCACCCCAGCCTCCATACACACACACAAACATACACACACACACACTTTAAAAAAGTTATTTCAGATGATCCTCACAAATCCTGTCCAGACAGGCATTACTTATTAAACAATTTTTTTTAGGCCAGGCGCCGTGGCTCACGCCTTTAATCCCAGCAGTTTGGGAGGCTGAGGCAGGCGGATTGCCCCAGGTCAAGAGTTTGACACCAGCCTGGCCAACATGGTGAAACCCGTCTCTACTACAAATAAAAAAAAATTAGCCGGGCGTGGCGGTGGGCACCTGTAATCCCAGCTACTCAGGAGGCTGAGGCAGGAGAATTGCTTGAACCCAGGAGGCAGAGGTTACAGTGAGCAGAAATTGTGCTGCTGCACTCTAGCCTGGGTGACTGAGTGAAACTCTGTTTCAGAAAAATGCATACATATATATATATATTTAAAGTAGAGATGGGCCAAGCCCAGTCTCTCTCTTACTTGTTTCATTTGGCAACACACATGCCCCAGGCTCTGGGTCCTTACTCCTCAGGGGCAGCTGAGCAGACCAGGACATGTCCAGTCCTGCCCCAAACAACTCATCAAGAACTTTCTTCTAACCCTAAGTCACACTCTAACAGTTGTTCTAGTGAATGTAGCTTTATCTTGTAACTTTTTCAGTGATATCTGATGCCCTTATAATTTGTGCTTAAGGAAACAGCCTGGCTGGTTAGCCTATGCCCCATCCTCCAACCACGCCAAGCAACCACCACATCATTCAGGACCAGAGAGCACACAGGAGAGGTATCAG